AAATTTGGATTTTAGTTTTACAATTATTGACAATTAAAACATGTTTTGAGGTTTGAATGTCTTTTATTCACTTATTTGTTTCCACAATTATTATACATGTGATTGAGTGAGTGTGGTGTTCTATTTCATGCATTCGAGAGAAGAGGAATAGACTTGACGATGTATTAGTCATCTTAAGGTCCGATAAAGGATAGATATATACCTCTATGCCTTGCGCAAATCTTTAAGTGAACACAAAAATACATAAAATCTCGTGAATTTACGTTCGTCATAGAGATATAGTCAGGGGGTTTACATGAATAGGTCCAACAATTCTCGAGAGAAATTGTTGGATAGGTTAGGATTATTGATTTTTCAAACTATCAAGCATGTTGTTGATGTTGTAGAACTAGATTCCAAGGCGAACATTGCATGGGGATTCGTGATCCTAGTACTTGTTTGTTATTCATTGGAAAAATCCAATTTGCATTTAATCACTCAATTGCATTTAGATTTAACTTAAATTTAACGTGCAAAGTAGTTATAGTTTAGTCATAAATCTCATCCAAACTCTCATAGAATCGGTTAAGGTTTCGGTAATTAGAATTGAACTACATCAATCCTTGTGGGAACGATATTCAAAATTCTCAATTATACATCAATCCTTGTGGGAACGATATTCGAAATTCTCAATTCCACTTTATTACTTATTAACGAACCGTACACTTGTAGCGATTTTTAAAACAAACTATTATTTTCGTGAACAATAACTGCCACTTCTTCCTTTGTCGAGTCATCAACATGTGTCTCTAGAAATGGCTACTGAAAGACATACCAATTTTCTCATGCCTGTGAACAATTCTCAGATTGCGGTGCCATTCAAGAAATTTTGGTTTGGTTGTTGGCATCCAGTGTGCCTCTCAAATACACATGGTTACTCATGATTCAATAAATATAAATGATAAAAAGTAAAAGAATAATATATAGAATGCATCAATTAATTTAACATGGTCTTTTGTTAAATTAATTGCGCTCCCACTATTTAACTCAAATTTATGACCTCCTCACATAAATTTATGGAATCCATGCTTGACTCCCAGTGGGCTGAGATCACATTTGTTATAATAAAACTTTGAGCGTACTCAACAAGCTTTAATAAAACATTTGGATAGATTTTATTATCAATTGTATCTTCATACAACTCCTAGAGTATTAAGCGACAACTCTTTGTCTTCACACATCTTATGTGTTAGGTTGGCACGCCTATAAATTTATCTCGTTGAGTATATTCAACTAAATAAATTTTAGTTAAGTCAAACCTATCATTCAGAAGTATCTAATATTTCATAATATCAAACATATCCCTAATAGACCAGTTTTGAGTGTACTCAGCAAGTTGAGATCAATTGAGGATTATGATTTTTCACTATAATGATGGAAGGTGAATATAAGTATGACTTAAGATTTTTGTGAGGGGTTTATCATGCAAATATCTCATCATAATAATTATATATATTTTATTATGCATCTAACATGCAAATAAACATACATAGAATTTTGTGGACGATTATGGACTTTACTATCTAGCCATGTTTGAGACACATTAAAATTTTCATTCTCATTCTTCTACTCATTTTCAACCACATATTCTTCAATAAAATAATATTTTTTATCACAGTAATAACTTTTCCTTCTTTTTCAACAATAAATTCTTCATCAATCTACTATTCCAAAAGACATTCTTCCAAAATAATGTGACTCAAACACACCACTAGTCTTCCCAAGCCATGAGAAAGAATAGTTGGTCAGTTCATATGAGACATAACATTGAATTATACAATGCTCCATCTCTATGGTCTCCTCTTCTTGTTTCTCCAATTAGTCCAATTGCAACATGTATCATATACTAGTTGGCACGTATGCCTAAATAATTGGACAAGGAAACCCATAAAATTATAACCAACTCGTATGTCCAAAATAAATAAGAGCTTGTAGGCCCATAGAACAACAAGAAAAAAAATCAATCAACACATCCATATGGTCAAGTCCATAATCATCCAATAATAAAACATTCATCATATAAATGCATTCCTATATAATATCTAATATATACAAACATGTTACGAATTTCTAGCAACTAAAGTA